CTTGTTATAATAAGGTCAGGTAAGTTTTCCTAAGGTTCTTTTGGTACAAAATTATTTGTTTTTATATTGTAAATTAAAAAAAAATTATATCTAAATGTATAAGAGAAAATTTTAGAAAGGAGTTAATTTTAAATGAGTTCTTGATAATTGACCAGTTTTACCTATTCGACACGACATATGTATGATAACCCAAGATAGTGATGTAATGGTATTTTGTATTTTTCAGTATCTCGACTTCACTGTGAGAGCGAGTCGTTCAAGATGGACCTGATACTTGATATCAACTCTATGATCTACCCCATGGATTTTGGTGAGTGTTGGATTGTTGTTGTGGGGGGTGGTTGTTGTCAGTAGGGAGGGAGGGTTGGTAGGGTAATGGGGCGTGCAGGCAGGATAAGAGGTCGTGTTGAGTGTAGGTGAACAGGTCGTGTGTGTTGCAGCAGGCAGGTAACACACACTCACACGAGTCACAGGGATGTTAGGAAGTATGTCTTTAGCCACAGAGTTGTCAGGAAGTGGAACAGTTTGGAGAGTGATGCAGTGGAGGCAAGATCCACCCATAGCTTTAAGAAGAGGTATGATAAAGCTCATGGAGCAGGGAGTGGACCTCGTAGCGACCAGCGAAGAGGCGGGGCCAGAAGCTGTGAATCGACCCCTGAAACCACAATTAGGTGAACACACACACACACAGCAGGAGGTGTGCATACTACACATTTCTCAGATATATTCAGGGCACAGTGTGGGCGCCTGCTCAGGCTACTTCCACATCCTCTAGTGTCAGTCCGCTTCCTTCTGGGCATCTTCCTTATCCACACTCATCCACCTTATCCCCCACACCCACTAAAGTGGAAGGAAATACAGAAGACAGCTCAAAGCAAAAGGCTAGAAGGCCAAAATAAAATCACTCTACTGGTGTACCGATGATCGTAACATTTAGCAGTGTACTGAGTGACGCAGATACCTATACACACACAAAACTAAAAGTTAGGAATTGTACATCAAGCGTCGATTCAACAAGACGGCGTCTGTGAAGGCTAGTTTTAACAGAGTAACAGAATAACAGATAGTTTTAACAGAGGACCAGTTAATAGTATGCCTGTAATCTCTAACAGAACAGAGCATTGATAGTGTTATCAAGGCACCTCCTTTGTCCTGTTTGTTACCAAAGAATCAGAAGACAATAGGAGTATTAAATCGAATAAACACGGGAGCCATCGGTGACAGGAGAAACATAAACCAGATTACAATAAAGGATATTTGACTTGAAGTGGAATTGTGACATCTGAGAGCGTAGTTTTAATGGGACGAGAGATAGGAAGGGGAGTGAAGGGAGGCAATAGTAGCAGCAGTAGTAGGTTTTGAAGATTGGAAATAGTGGAAATAGTAGCAGTAGTGGGTTTGGGAGGGAAGAAAATGGGTTTACAATGAGAGTGAAATCAGGAGGATAGTCAAGGTGAGAGGATAGGAGAGAATCTGGGGGTCAGAGAACTGGAGGACACGGCGAGCATGCATGCCTCTGTTCTTAACCTTGAGGTAAACGGGGGGGGGGGAACAGTAGGTTTATAACGAAGATGTGAACACGAACAACAGGGTTTAAACGCGATAGATGGAACGAGATTGTGTGTGTTATTCAACACAGTGTTGGAATCTCGATAGACAGAGCAAGATTGTGTGTGTTATTCAACACAGTGTTGGAAACTCGATAGACAGAGCAAGATTGTGTGTGTTATTCAACACAGTGTTGGAATCTCGATAGACAGAGCAAGATTGTGTGTGTTATTCAACACAGTGTTGGAATCTCGATAGACAGAGCAAGATTGTGTGTGTTATTCAACACAGTGTTGGAATCTCGATAGACAGAGCAAGATTGTGTGTGTTATTCAACACAGTGTTGTGTGTTGTGGAGCAAAATTGTGTTAGTCAATACAGTGTTGGGAACACAGTGTTCCTCTCCAGGACTTTCGAAAGACTAGAGGGAATTTATTTGAGAAAAAGGCTTAGAATTATGTCTAATGCTGTGAAGCCTTTAATGACTGTGTGTGTGTGTGTGTGTGTGTGTGTGTGTGTGTGTGTGTGTGTGTGTGTGTGTGTATGGCTTCTCTTGCTGTATGTTGATAAGTTCTCCCCACAGGTATTTCTTTGTTTTTCCTTGTTGTCCCTTGGTAGATGTACTTGCCTTCTAGGTGTCAGACTTGACACAGCGTGTCCTTCTTTGCCCAGTCGTTGTCTTAGTGTCAGCAGCGCCAGGCAGTGAAGAGTTTTTACGAGGATAGTGAGGCTCAAGTTAGAGTATGTAGGAAAGAGGGAAATTTTTTCCCAGTAAAAGTAGGCCTTAGACAAGGATGTGTGATGTCACCGTGGTTGTTTAATATATTTATAGATGGGGTTGTAAGAGAAGTAAATGCGAGGGTCTTGCAAGAGGCGTGGAGTTAAAAGATAAAGAATCACACACAAAGTGGGAGTTGTCACAGCTGCTCTTTGCTGATGACACTGTGCTCTTGGGAGATTCTGAAGAGAAGTTGCAGAGATTGGTGGATGAATTTGGTAGGGTGTGCAAAAGAAGAAAATTAAAGGTGAATACAGGAAAGAGTTTAAGGTTATGAGGATAACAAAAAGATTAGGTGATGAAAGATTGAATATCAATTGGAGGGGAGGTATGGAGGAGGTGAACGTATTCAGATATTTGGGAGTGGACGTGTCAGCAGATGGGTCTATGAAAGACGAGGTGAATCATAGAATTGATGAGGGGGAAAAAAAGTGAGTGGTGCACTTAGGAGTCTGTGGAACAAAGAACTTTGTCCTTGGAGGCAAAGAGGGGAAAGTATGAGAGTATAGTTTTTTTCCAACGCTCTTTAGGGTGTGAAGCGTGGGTGATGAAATGTTTTCAGCGAGGAGAAGGCTGGAGGCAGTGGAGATGTCATGTCTGAGGGCAATGTGTGGTGTGAAATATAATGCAGAGAATTTGTAGGGTTTTGGGAAATTAGGAGGAGGTGCGGGATTACCAAAACTGTTGTCCAGAGGGCTGAGGAGGGTTGTTGAGGTGGTTCGCGAATGTAGAGGAATGGAGCAAACAGGGGGGTAATTGACTTCAAGAAGTGTTTCAGTCTGTAGTGGAAGGAAGGCGGGGTAGGGGTCGGCCTAGGAAGGGTTGGAGGGAGGGGGTAAAGGAGGTTTTGTGTGCGAGGGGCCTTGGACTTCCGCAGGCATGCAAGTGAGGCGTGTTTGATAGGATGTGTATGGAGTACAATTGGCTTTTTTTTAATACTTGACGTAGCTGTTGGATGTGTGAGCAAAGTAACATCTTATGAAGGATTCACGGGAAACGGCAGGCCGGACTTGAGTCTGGTGATGAGGAGTACAGTGCCTGCACTCTGAAGGAGGGGTGTTAATTGTTGCAGTTTAAAAACTGTAGTGTAAGCACCCTTCTGGAAGACAGTGATGGACTGAAGTGAATGATGGTGAAAGTTTTTCTTTTTCGGGCCACCCTGCCTTGGTGGGAATCGGCCGGTTGTGTGATAATATAAAAATAAAAAATAATATTCTTCTTCTCTACCTTATATATTAATTTATATATATATATATATATATTTATATATATAGATACATACCGGCAGGATCATGATACAGCAAAGGAACAGGACGTTATGCGCAGGTCAAGTCAGCCATTTTTTCAGCATGTTAGCGACAAACAATCACAGTATTCACTGGGGACGCTGCCTCAAGCCAAACACAAATCACACGGCCAGCCCCCCATAGTCCCCTCGCCGTTCACACTGTAGCTAGTATAGCTATCAGAACTTTGTCGGCCCAGTCCCCGGAGCCATTATGTAATCTGCTTAATGTTGAGGTACAGTCCTGGAGCGGTATGTTCATCTGTAATGTTGAGGTACAGTATCTGGAGCCTATTTCTGTACCTCCCCTGTATGGTGACCGGTACAGTTCCCTGGAACCATTATATGCTCACTGCGTTAACTCCTTTGACTGCCGGTCCACAGGATTGGTTACTTGGCCTACTTTAACTAATACATATGAACTTAAGCCTACAAACACAAACCAGACTAAATCTACAAACACAACGACGGGCATAACGACATCTACGTAACACTGCTCGCCACCAGTAGAACAACCCAGTTAGGAGGCTAGTTGTATTATACGTTTAAGTGTATATGAGATATTTACCCTTTCGCGTATATACTGCAGTGTTGCTCTCAGCCTTGGTCGTATCCAGGGATACTTAGGCTAGTTTGTTTATTTATGGATTTTTTCTATACCCGGAAAGTGGGTAACGTTTCAGTATCCCTATGACTTTACTTAGCATGTCATGGTTGAATTCCGTGCGTGTTTGCATCATTATTCTGTCGTGGGGGAAGGTAATGTAAGATATTTGTGTGTGTGTGTGTGTGCTTGTGGGTGGGCTGTGTGCCACCCCCCCGTGGGTGTGTGTGTATCCCCCTCGCCTAGTTAACTCACTTCGATTGTACTCACCTAGTTGAGGTTGCGGGGGTCGAGTCCGAGCTCCTGGCCCCGCTCTTCGCTGTGTGTGTTCGCGCTGTGGTGTGTGTTCGTGGTGTGGGTTTGTGTCGGTGTGGTTTGTGTTTGTTTGTGTGTGTGTCCGGCTCCGCTGGTGCGGTGCCCCCCACCTGTGTGTGTGTGTGTGCCCCTGTCGCCCTGTCGCCGTCGGGCCCCCCCCCGCCGCCCCCCCCAGTTGCCTGCCTGTCGCCCTCACCCCCCCCCATCCCCCCACCACGCCCAGCCCCCGTCTCTCGCTCCGATCAACCTACCGTTCGAGTTGCGGGGGTCGTGTCCGAGCCCTGCGACCCCACCCGCCCTCTTCGCTGTGTGTGAGTGTGTGTGTGGTGTGTTGTGTGGTCGTGCCTGTCGGTGTTTGTAGTTTACAAAAGATTCTTGGCCTCTTACTAGGATGACCAGAAGCGCAGGCGTGAACCAGATCCACAGACGTGTATAACCCTTTTACCAGACTCTTCCTGTTTTAGGACTGGTGTTGAGCCTTGGGGGCAGTGCCCTCCCTCAGATAGGCCACCCTGCTCTTCTCACGCCCCCTCTCTTGCATACTGTACTTCCACCTCGAATAGCGGCTCCTACCCTTCCTTAATTACTTTGCAAATCCTGGCTGGCTTACTCAGCCACTGGGGCTAGCTTCTCAGCCACCTGGCTGGCGTCCTCTATCACTGGCTGGCTTCCTCAGCCACACTGGCTGGCTTCTCAACACCTGGCTATCTTCCTCAATCACCTGGCTGGCCCTGCCTCATCATCACTGGCTGCTTCCTTCTCACAATCATACCTGGCTGG